TAGTAGGCGCCTGCTAGTTGCGTAGCACCTCTACTTTCTAGGGGTTAACCTCTAGTCCTTTATTTAAAAGTATATAGCTAAGATACTTTATTTAAGTAACATAAAATTTACTTTTTTTAATTTTTACTTATAATTTTGCTTACTAGAGCCTTTCTAAGACCTTTTTATATAAAAAATATAAGTTGCCTTATCTTTAAAGTAAATAAAAATGTTATTAAAATAGGCAATGCAGAAATTATTTAGATAGTTAATTAATATATTATTTATATAGCGCTAGTAAGTTGCTAGGCTATTACATAATTTAAAAAGTAAAACTTTACACTTATATGTTTTATATTATGTCTAAAAGGTTGTACACTTTTTAGAGCTTAGGTTTATCTTAATCTTATTAAAAGCTATATAAATATTAAACTTAGTAAAAATAGCTACTTTTATAAGTCTTAACAAAAGTTTGTTTATGCATAGTATTAGATACATATTCTTACAGGTAATAGCATTAAGTTTATAGTAATTAACATAAATATATAAGTTACTATTTAGTTTTTATACATAAAGAATAAGAGATATAAAAAAGCTTTAACTTTACTTAATAAAGCTATATTTTAGATTGTCTATAATATACTTCTTTATTACCTTTAGTTCCTTAATATTCTGTTTATATAAGAGGCTGTAACTGTTAGGAAGAGGTTCTATAAGAACAATCTTATAGTTATATAGGCAATGTGCTAGTAATTAGTAAGCTGCAGTATAGCTAAATATATCTTAGTACTAACAGTATTTAAATAGTAATTAAAGGTTTACTAATGCTTTAGTTTTACATTTATTATGTAATAGTAAGGCTTACTTATCTTTAATTAAATGCTTAATTTTATAAATAAAAGTTAAAAAAAACTTTTTTTAATATTAAAATAAAAAGCATTTACTAAAATAAAAGTAATAGTAGAGAAACATCTAGCCTTTAAACCTATTCTAGACTTTTTAATAAATAGGTAGATTAATAATTTAAGTGTCTTTAGACTATAAGCAATAAAAGAGTAGTATAATTTTAGTAGCCTTAGTAACCCCTTAATGCAGTTAATTATTAGGCTGCATAACTACTAAATATAGTTCTTTTTCTATAGTGCGTCGTGTTGTCTAATTGTCAGATATGCGCACCTACTGTCAAGACAGAAGGAACGTTTGACGAAAGCTGCTACATAGTACGAGCAATAAGCTTGAACAGTATGTTGCTGCAAATTGCAGCATTTTGCAGCATTTTGCAGCATTTTGCAGCATGTTGCAAGCTGGTCGCGCATAGGGCAAGTGCGCGAGGGACTCGGATCGGCAAAACAAAAGCCGAGCAACACGAGTAGAGCAGAAAAAGGATTGATAAATCAAGAACATCAATACAATCAATCAATCATCCCATACATCACATCTAAACCCATCATTCATCTCAGGAAGCCTAGAAACAGTGCTTTAATCTGACACTAATATCTAACTCTACTTTTTTATTATGTGTAGGCTAGCCTAATTACATAAGTAACAGCAGTAAAAGTTTATAAGTAGTAAGATACTTACTAGGCTATATAATCTAATTTTTTGTTATATCTAGTTAGAGTTTAAAATAATGTAACTATTTAATGCTAATAATATAATTCTATAAGCTAAGGTTTATAATTATAAAAGGGTAGTTTTAGATACTTCTACTATTAATTTGCATATGTAGGCAGATATACTAGTAGACAGAAACTTAGATTTAGTTTTAAAAGCCCTTAACTATAACTTTAAAAGGTAAACATTAAATAAAAATATAAAGACATTAAAATAAGAACTTAGTAGTTGTTAAGTTAATAAATAGAAAACTATGTGCGCTAGTATTAACTAAAGAATTTAATTAAACTTTAATACCTTTTAAGCATAAAATAGTAAAGACTTAAAAATGTTTTTTTTTAATAAGTGTAATAAGTTAATATTTACTAAGTTATACTTATTTAAGCGTAAAATAAAAAGTTTTTTTAAGTGTTTTTATTTCTTATTTAAAGAGAATTTAAGTTATAATTATTTATATCTATAAACTTTTTCTTATATTTTTATTACTCTACTTTAATTTTTTATACTTTAGAGATAGAATAATTACTAGTAAAATGTTCTAGTTTTTTATAATTATAATAGTTACTAGAAGTTGTTTATTTTTTAGAGGCAGGTGTCTAGCTAGGTTGTTAGTAGGTAGCTAGGGTGGATTAGGGTACTAACATAGGTGCAGGTTAAAGTGCACTTAAATAGTATACTGCCTTAGATGTATTACTAGAAACTTTCTAAAACTGCTTTATAATAAGTCTAATATTAGATTATTAAGTGTAGTTAATAGTTTACTTTTGTAACGGCGCAGGCAAGACAATGGGTCCGAATGCGGTATGAATCCACTCAGAGGCATATGAGAGTGCGTGGGGACTCAGAGACCTGGGAATACCAATGACACCTATAGGCCTTGTACGTAGGATATCAGAAAACTACCGAGCTAGCTACGGGGGCGAGGTGCGACTAAATACATGAGGGAATAGGGGTAACTGCGGGGGACTGGGTCGAGTCATGGTCGGGGCCGATACAGGGACCCTTCGGATAGGACCCGAGCGACCCGAGATGGAACGATTCGTAGAATCGTTACAACTTTAAAATAGTAAAAGTGTTTCTTCTTTTTATATTATAAGCTATTAAGTAGGCTACTATTATCTTAAAAAAGCTCTTCTAAGTATGTTTAAAACCTAAGTTTAGTACTTTTAGGCTAGGCAGTATCTTCTTCTATAAGTAAAAGAACTATTCTAACTTTAATACAGACTCTTTAATAGCAGCACTAATAAAGTAAGCTTTAAAAGTAGAAAATGCTTTTTTTTTACTTATTCTTAGAGTCTTAAACACTTATTACACCTTTATTTCTTTATTACTAGTAATAAAGTAAGTTTATAAGAGCTTAATTATTTTTTTTATGTTTTTAAACTAAAAGTTGTCTAATTTAGCTAGGTATCTAGGCTCTAGGTATTTCTTTGCAATACTAGCAGTGTGTCTCTATACTAACGCTATGTGTGCACGCTTACTCTAATAGTAATCTAAATTAATGTTAAGTCTATCTATAATAAAGGCTTACTATTATTTAAATGTAGGTTCTTTGCTATTTATAAAGTTCTTTATCTTAGGCGTGCGTTTAGTAAGGTAGCTTTAAAAAAGCTTAAAAGTGCCTAAAAAGTCTCTTACTATTAGTGTAGCATAAGTAATTTAAGGCAATATTAGAGGTAATTTAGTAGTTAGTAGAAAATAATTAAGACTAATAGTTTTTAATTTAGTTAGCTATTTAATTTATACTCTTAATTAAGTAACTTAGTTTTTAAAGGCTATGCTACTAAAGTTTAACTTTAAATTTAGTAAATTTTTAGCTTTAGGTTCTATAAAAAAAGGTTTAGCTATTAAAGTTAGTAGTTATTTAGCTTTAGTAGTAGGCATCTTACCTTAGCTACAGCTAGAGCGTGTTGCAAGCTTTATACTAAGGTCTAAAAGTAGTTAAGAGTTAAGCATTAGTAGTTATCTTTAATTCTAATAAGTTATTAGTAGTCTCTAGGTTTCTACCTTAGCGCACTTTTTATAACTTTTCTAAGAGCAATTTTAATTATAGGGGATAAAAAGTTCTAAACCTAAAGGCTTTAGTTAATAGAAAGTTTCTAGAATTCTATTTATAATAACTAAATAATTTAATGTAATAGTGTGTAAAAATAGTAACTTAAACTAAATTAAACACTTTTTAAAGTTAAATGTAGTTAAATAAATAATTAATGTAATATTATTAATAAGGCTGTTACTAGTAAAAGTAAGTTTTTTAATATAATATAACAGCGCAGGCAAGATAATAGGTCTAAATGTAGTAGGAATCTACTTAGAGGCATATAGGAGTGCGTGGGGACTCTAAACCTAGGAATGCTATTAACACCTATAGGCCTTGTACAAAAGGATATTAGAAAACTACTAAGCTAGCTACAGGAGCGAGGGGCAACTAAATACATAAGGGAATAGGGGTAACTGCGGGGGACTAGGTCGAGTCATGGTCGGGGCCGATACGGGGACCCTTCGGATAGGATCCGAGCGACCCGAGATGGAACGATTCGTAGAATCGTTACAAGTTAGAATCTAGTAAAAAAAATACTATTTTATAGCTACAGCTTGTCTCTACATTCTATTAAATTCTAAGCCTATTTAGACATATAGTAGTAGAGATATCGTGAATCTAATTCTATTGTGATGCTTTTGAAATAGGCCTATTCATAGAAAAAATCACAAAAGTCCCTCAGACGGCTGAGGAGAGAAACGCTACCGACAGGGGTCAGAAACCGCTAACCCCCAGGCCATACTCTATTTGGAGTAGCAATATGCATGGTTTGTGCGTCCTCGGTTCTCTCCTCACATCTGAGCTAGCTGAGATAAGACTATATACTGTACGAGAAAGGAGCTATGCCCAATGAGTGAATAGTGCAGTACATGGGTATGATATCGCGTGAGACACGTGCGACAAGCGCTTGCACCAGGATTCTTGCTAAGCTCCCGCCAAGTCCGTGCACGGACCATTCCAGTCCCTGACACGAACCTATCCATCTCACTCAAATGTGCATCAACTGACTTTCACAACCCGAACATGATCTGCCATGCCTTCGCTTTTCATTCATCTCCAGCGCCTTGGAGTTAGCCCTAGATACAACACTCTTCAATTCTTTAGTCGCTCTCTCACACCATCCTTTGGATCGTTTCGATATCCTTTTCGAACAATGTCTGCTTGTCCAGATCGTGACTACAAAGATTACTACCGCTACACCAGTGGGCGCTGGCTATGGGATGAGGATTCTCAGCTCTGCGAGCGTTATAAAAGCTTTAATGTGTCTGGGCTTAAGAAGATCGCGGCTAAAAGCATTAGCGCGCAGGCTTGCGTGTCCATTAGCAAGCTTGCTGAGGGCGGGTTCAATAAGGTCTTTCGGCTTGTCATGGATGATGGTACTATCGTGATTGCGCGTATACCGAACCCTAATGCTGGACCTCCATTCATGACAACCGCGTCTGAAGTCGCTACCATGGATTTTGTATGTTGACACGTTCACCATGATTTTGAGATGCCCAAGCTGATACAATCAAATTCTCAGGCTCGGACTGTCCTTGAGATCCCCGTGCCAAAGGTCTTGTCCTGGAGCGGGGAGGCTGAAAACCCCGTAGAATCAGAGTACATTTTGATGGAGGAGGCTACTGGAAATCAGCTCGGTGAGGTTTGGGATGAGATGGAGCTTCATGATAAGCTCAAGATTGTGGACGATATTGTCGCCATAGAGAGAAAGTTTCTGTCCCTATCATTCACTCGGTATGTTTCTCCTAATTAGTGCACTTATGCTAGCATAGTTGACGGAGTACCACAGTTATGGAAATCTTTACTTCGCAAATGACGCTTTCCCGGGCTGTGAAAAAGCTGAAATCATTGGCGAGGTACCCCACTCATTGAAGAAAGAGGTGGAGAGCCGATTCGTCATAGGCCCAGTCGTTGATCGAAGTTTCTGGCACCAAGAACGAGCATCTATGGGGATTGATCGTGGCCCCTGTGAGTTATATCATATACACACCACTAAGTACAGTTGTACTAATATCACTTTATAGGGAAAAGCCCTCAGGATTATCTTAGAGCAATTAGCCAACGTGAGATTGCCTGGATAAGCAGTCACGCTGCTCAAAAGTCTCCAGGTGGTCTATTTGCAACGTCCGAAGCACAGCGCACTCCAGATGCTCATATTGTCCTTTATAGGAAGTTTCTGGAAGTTGCTGAATATCTATTGCCCAAGGGAGATCAGATTAGGCCTACCCTATGGCATTGGGATATTCATGCCCCCAATATATTCGTTTACGAAGATCATGTTACTAGTCTTATTGACTGGCAGGATACATGGGTCGGCCCTTTGTTCCTTCAGGCACGGCACCCGCGACTTGTAGATTACAACGGAGAACTCATGATGAGGCTACCTGAAAGCTACGGTGCTCTTGAAGATGAAGACGAAAAAATCCGTATTCGGACCCAAGTTGAGAAGTCGATTGTCCTGTGGACATACGAAACTGAGACGAAAAAAGCGAATCCAATCCTCCATGACATTTTACACATAAATCAAGGGCGTACAAGGCGCGACACTGTAGACTTTTCTACTAATACGTGGGATGGAGACATCATTCCCTTTAGGCAATGTCTCATCCGCATAGCACGGTATGTTTGGCCCTATACCCACTACTTAAAGTCGACCTAGAACCCTAATACATAAGAGCTACAGTCACTGGAACGAGATCAACACCGAAATTCCCTGTCCGATAGAATTCACTGACGAGGAGATACAAGCACATCTCCTGGATGGGGAAGGCTGGAATGAGAATGCGGACTTCTGGGACTCACTCCAGGGGTTTGTACATCGTGATGGATGGACATCGAACGACAATTATGAGCAGGCACTTGAAATGTTCGCACAGCTTAGAGAGCAGGGATTGCAGAGCCTGAGTGGCGAGGAACGATCGGCGTTTGAAGAGAGCACACGCTGGGCTGTAAGAAAACCTAAGTAGATCAGGAATGTTTAGTTTAGAGAGACAGAGACATATATGACTTAGACCTAGACCTCCTTGTCGCACGTGTCTTACGCGATATTTCTCTACAGCTCTACTCGATCCGATATATGGCGACGGATCCCCAAGGTTCCGTAACCCTTATTTCCATAGTTTACACTATATATTTTTACACTATACTTACTTTTATTTACTTACTTTACGACTTTACTTATTTTTCTTTCTATGCTATATTCTTCTTTATACTATATCTATCTTTTTAGCAGAGCTTGCTCTGCTTATTATATTCGAGTTTGCAGAACGAAAAGTTGAGCAGAATCTCCTCTTTTAGACGCGCTAGTTAGTTAGAATTTCTTTAGATAAACCCTAGTAACGCTATTTCTCTGTCACCTTATGTATTTATTGCATTCTTTTTTAAAAGAAAATGTATACCTAATATAAGTACACCTTTCTGTTAATTTGCATGCAGATTGCTCTAGTATGCGTTGTGTAAAACATGTTTAAATTATAGTTAGTTGCGTCTGTTCCACCTCTCTAGCCACATTAGTGTGTCGGGGATTGGCATCAGCCGCATCGGTGTGTCGGGGATTGGCAGTTGCTTACACACCTAAGTTGTTTACTTTTGCTAAGACCACACCACAACAAACTTTATTATAGCCTATAACAACCCGCTCTAGCAATATAGAGTAAAGTATAGCCTAGAATATTATTTAGATACTACTTCTACTTCTTGCTTACACGTTTACGCGTTATGCCTAGTGTAATTGCACTGTCTGCAGCGCCTTTAGAATTGCTTATCTACTTTAGCTTACACTTGCTTCTTTGCCTTCTTCCTGTCACTGCGCGCTCTAACCTTCTTTAGAGCTGTTAAGCGTAGGCCTTTCTAAATGTAGCTGCCTTATTAGCTGCTTAAAGCTTAGTAATTTCCTATTACGCTAACACTAGCTTATGTACAATTATTGCTGCCCTTTGTAAGGCTTTCTTTCTAGAGGCATTACCTCTCTATAACCCTCTCTAGACGTAGAGCTACTTGCAACACAACTAATATCTACTAGGGATTGCTGCCTGCTGCTGTAATCTACTGTAGTTTGCTGCAATTTGCTATAGTTTTCTGTAATTTGCTGCAATTTGCTATAGTTTGCTGCAATTTGCTATAGTTTGCCGCAATTTGCTGTAGTCTGCTGCAATTTGCTGTAGTTTACTTTATGCATTTCTTAACGCTGGTAGGTAATCTCTTACGAATACTGTGAGAGGTATCGAGCAGGAAACACAGGTCACAGAGAGGGAATACAGGATAGGGGGGGTAACGAGAGTAAACCTTAGGGTCGGAGGCAGAGGTACAGAGGCCGAGGAGCCTATATACCCCGTGCCAAGCCCTTAGGGTACTCAGAGGTTGGATAGCTGTAACATAACTGTGACAAATACCTGTCACAATTGTGCACGAGTAAGGTTATAGAGCTTCACGGAGGTCTAGTTTAATTACTATGTAAGGTATTATAGTAGGTACAAGACATTGTGTAAGGAACAGGAAAGTTTAGAAGGAAATTAGTAATTAAATACTTAGCTTAAAAGTCTAAGCACTTTAGGTATAAATTAAGCCTATTTTAGGTTTAGTTATTGTTAAGGTAGTTTATGCTTAAGTTTATGTCTATGTTGTGTTATATTTATGTTAGACGTGCACTAATAATACTCTAGTACACATCTAATACAGTTATGTCTAGGATCTAGGGAGGATACTATGCTAGTACCCCCCCCTTATTAGGAAGGGAATCCTTTACATTAGTAGTTCTAGCATTAGGTTGTCTTTATTAGGGTACAGGTTTAGTTTAGATAGGTATTAGGCGTAGAATTAGGTTACTGCAGAGTTCTCTTATAAGGCTTCTACAGGTTCCTACAATAGTTTGTTGTATCTAGTCTATTTTATAAAGTATTTATAGATACATTTTTTCTTATTAAACTAGATCTATTTAATGTCTTCTACAACATTTTCTAGTTTATTATTTATAATAATAGGTTTAGGTAGCAGGTTTAGCTGTCTAAGTAGATAGTTAGATTTAAAGGCTGCTTAGCGCAGTAATAATACGTGGAATACAAGGTGTATCTTTATGCTGTTAGGTAGAATTAATTAGTAAGCATGTAATAAGACTATATAGGCTACTATAAAGAGGCTAAAGTTCTTCTAATTAAGTGTTTTTAATTATTAGTTTATTTAGATATTTCTAGTGTCTAGCTAGACCTTCTTGCTAGCTGCATACGCAAAGGTAGAGGTTTAAGATTAGTTTACGTACTCTTATTAAAAAGTTTAAGCCTATATAAGCTTTTTATAAATATATTTAAATATATTTTAAATTTTATTAATAAGTCTATTTATATCTATTACTTATATAAATTAATAAGTTAGTTAGGGGGTATTTAAAAGTAGTTTAAATTCTATTTAAAAGTAGTATTTATAGTTTGCTAAGAACAAAGATACTTATGTTAATTTAAATATTATGTTATTAGCTTTAAACTATGCTATAGCTAACTATTTTACCTAGTTATCTTACTAGTAGTTTATGTACACTTATAGAACTTATTTTATTACAGCATTTATATTTTTAGTCTAGCTATTAGTCTTTAGGTAAAAAGCTATAAATAAATAGAGAATAATTTAGAGCTGTTTATAGAGTTTATTCTAAAAGGCTAAGACAAACTATGTACCTTTATTTAATATAATTATGTTAGGTAGGCTATAGTAAACTTATACATATTAGTAGAATAACTAGGCTATATTAGGGGCAGTTATAGAAAAATATAGTATTAAGTGTTAATACTTAGTTAAGGAATTAACAACTACTATAATATTTATGTACCCTTTAAATAAAGGTAAGTCTATAATAAAATTAATTAATATATCTTTTTAAGCTTATTTAAGAATTAGAAGTAGTTTAAGTAAGCTATTATACCTTTCTTAAAAAGCTTTTACTTTATAGTAAGTATAGCAACATAATACATATTAGCGTACAGTATAGAACATGTAGGGCTAGTAGTACTCTCTCTGTAGTAGGTTAAGAGTCTTTCCTCTGCCTAGGTGTTCTTTAATAGATAAGTTATGTATAATTTAGAGTAGTTTAATTCTTAGTTTATTAAAATTAAAAATTATAAGTTAGTTATAGTAATATAGCTTACTATTTTAGTTTTTATAGTTAGCTAGTGTTACATTTTTTAACTAACTAGCGCTGTTTTAAAGTAGGTTTAAAGTTTTTTAAATAAATTTATTATTTAGATACTTATTAGTAATAATTTAATTAATTATCTAATTTATTTTATTTAAGTTAAGGTCTAAAAATAGCTTAAGTTAAAGTAAAGTTTAGTGTTAAGCTTTTTACACTTTTTTCTAAGTAAAGATATTTTAAGATTACTTTATAAAAGCATCTAGTTTCTCTTTGTTTTAACTAAGATAATAAGTAATCTTAAAATTAAAATAAAATAGGTATTTAAACTAACAGGCTTATTAGTAGCTAAGTTATTTTATAGTTGTAAAGTACTATAAGTTCTTATAGTTAAATAAAACCTATATTAGATGCGCTGCACTTTCTAGTTTAGGTTACTATTATTTAAAGTAGTGTACTATAGTAAGTAATTTTTTATAATAAATCTTATAATTACTTTCTGCAGAACTTATTCTTTTTAAAAAGTATATAATAGGCCTAATAGTCCTGTCTAGCTTAGTCTAGAAGAGAACTTCTACTACTACATAGTCTAAGGCATTAGCTTTTACAAGTATTAGTAGTTTAAAGTTAAAGTAGTAGAGTATTAAAGCTTTAGTAAAGGCTTTTTTTAGCTAGTTAAAAAACTATTAGTAATTTAAGTTAAAGTTAAATTAAATTTTTTTTTTAGTAAGTGTAATTATAAGGCTTACTTATTATAAAAAGTTGTTAATAAATTGTCGCGTATACTGAGAGCCTTGGCTGGGGCTCAGAGCCTGGGACTGGGGCTCGGAGCCTGGGACTGGGGGCTCAGAGCCTGGGACGCAGCTCGGGATCTGGAGATATTATGTTCCGAAGCTCGGTGTATATAAGGAGAGCCTTCGGCTCTCTTAGATAGCAGAGTCACTTCATCCGATCTTCTGAACAGCTACTGCCAGGCTATTTTATCCTCCACAGTTATGGGCCCGGCGCTTTAAGAACCCAGGACGATTCTCCCTGCGTAACTATAGCGCTGGCGAAAGCTGTTTAGAAGCTCTATTCCTCATCCTCACTTATCCTCATCACCTCCAAAGCCCACGTCATGGCTGATCGAGATGCTCCTCTCCCGACAGGAGCATACCAGCTCAAGGACCACGCGAGCTGGCCTCTCTGGTTTATCCAGCTCCAGTTCC